GCAAAAAAATCCTGAAATGCTTGTTGAAAAAAGAACAAGATTTTAACTGTAACGTACGTCCTCGTATTTTAAGGAAGAATTTTTAGTTGCTGTCGAATCAGCACCTAAATCAATTAAATCTCCGTTGATAAATCTCGTTGAAAGAGGTTGGAAAGGTACAAAAAACGATGCGCATGAACTTTCAGCGCTTTGATATACTGAATGCTCTTGTGCATTCCTGCAACAGGGCACCGCTGAACAAATAAAATTATATGCACTAATTACCCACTCCTCAAAAATAACGAAAAGCAAGCTGCTAATAAAATATCAGAAGAGCGTGAAGACCACAGTCTCATATAAATATCTGTCCCCTAAAACTGAAAAAACGAAAAAATAGTTTCAGCAGAAAAAACGAGAAGCGCAAGAAAAAGTTAAAGCATAATTGTTAAACTTAATAAACAAGTCATAGTAGCCAATGTTCTGAGATCACTGTTCTTCAAATTAATCTTGCTTATCCGAGTAATCTCCTTCAAAAAATCCCTTTTTAGAAAGAAATAACTAACGAGCATCTGTTTCGATAAGTTGGTGAAGAAGTGTCACATCGAGGAAAAGCCCCAAGAGTTAAGGATTTGCCCAGAATATTTCCATTTTGCGCTTTACTATCTGTAGTTATACACATCCATTACTTCTTCCATAATTTTGAGCATCGCAAAAAGAGATTCTTTTTACTTTCAAAACCAAAAAAATTTAATCTCAGATTAACAAAAGTGTATCTGAATCAAAGTCACTGGAATCACTAAATTTACAAAGGAGTAACAAATAGTTTTTAAAAAAAGAACCTCCATCAAAAACGGCACCGGGACGAATATTAGTAGTTTGATTTAGAAAATGAGCTTGACTAGGTGGCAAGCCAGTAAAAGAAGACCATTGGAAAGTATGCGAAGAGGACGGGATGCATCTAAGAAGAAAATGAAGAATTATTATTATCTCACGACTTTTACAAAAAATGCAAGATAACATTCTCGATATACCCTAAGTGAAGATAAATAAAGAATTAATAAAATTAATATACTTAACAGAGACGAATATATGAACAGAAAAATTAATTACTGGTAAGGAGGTAAAGAAGGCTGCAAAAACCCTCGGTTATTTGGAAATAGGCTAGTGATTGACTGGATTTTTTCCTGCATCTTCTTAACCTCTATGTCCTCCAAATTTATCAAGTCTTCGTCGCATTTACGTCGTCGGAGCTCCTCTTCGTGCGTTTCTCTGTGAGTGGTTACAGTCAAAATTGAAAAAAAAATTTAAGAAATAACAAAAGTATTGGCGAGGTAAGCTGCAGAAAAACTTTATGATAGTGTTATAATTATTGTTTGTATTAGCATTTTTACTATCTGATTCTCAAGAAGCCAGCGAAAAAGAAAACGCAACAGAAGAAAAAAAAATAAGAGAGAAGAGAAAAAGGATATTAAAAATACTAACATGCTTAACTTAATCGCTAATTGTAGCTCACTATCTCCATTATCATCGTTTTCTCCTGCCATCATTTTTCAGCGAATATAACCGGTAGACGATAATTCACCACATCTCTAAAGTCTACAAATACTATACCAATAAAAGCAGAAACAACATGACTAAAAAAAAGCTGGAAAAAACTGAAACAACAATTAACCGATATCGATGACGTTCTACAGCATAAGATCTTCAAATATAAACAAGGAAACAAACAAAATTTCCTCAAATACTCAACGATATTTCAGTATCCAAATTAATGTACCATCCTTATGGATCAAAACACGAAAAAAATTACACAACTTCATTTCTTTCTGTCTCTTAGTTTAAATAATTAAATTTT